CGCACTGTCGGAGGGTCAGTGCTGAGGGAGCGCCGCACTGTCGGAGGATCAGTGCTGAGGGAGCGCCGCACTGTCTGAATGCACTGAAATGTGACTTGTCTTGCCTGTATGAATCACTGTGCCCATGCACTAACTGGGAGACTGAGTGTGTAAGAAAATTGAATGGTATGGATTTGGTGAATGGCCTCTTGCCCACAACTGATGCTCAGCTGCGAATTTGTGATTAGAGGACTGAGTCACAAAGTACTTGTCTGATAAGTAGCCAAAGAGCAGAGCTCCCAACGCCACTCCGATGAAGAAAATGCTGGTGGCTGCCTGGTTCAAGCTCCGTTTCTCGCACACCAGATCCCACTGCAAGAAGAACACAAACAGGAGGGAACTCAAAGTCAGCACTGCCCTGTAACCTAGTGCCCAGTAATTGTCTACTATCTGGTGCCACACAACAAACTCCAGAAGCATTCTTTCCAGCTATGGGACAGACACAAAAGGCAGTCTTTATGATTGCTGTGGTGCTAGCTGTTGAGGTTGAGACCACTGTATGTGCACATTTCAGCCTGACCTTGAATAGGATGCTGCACACATTCACTACTTGATTGAAACCGTTTTCAATAAGCAGGACAGGTCACATTGTCCTAGTTTGTGTTCCCTCAAGGGCCAAAGGTCCAGAGGTGAATGAATCAGACTGGTCACCATAACTAAAGGAGTGGATCTGCTGGTCAGAGAGGAACCTGGTCAGAGCGGGCAGTGTCATTAACAAGGGGCCAGGCAGCTCAGGGAGCATATGTCCCCCAAACAGACTGTTTGAATACAGGGAAGAGCTTGTGGAGAATGTAATTGAATAGAATAATGAAATAGCCTGGAGGGACTGGTTTATTTGGTATCTGGCTTCATCACATGGCCAGTGAAGGAAATGTGGGCCAGGGTTGGGCAGGCCCGGACTGGGAGTGGGTCAGCTGTCTGTTAGAGAATGGTGTCACACTCTATCTGAGAGCCACCTCAGTGTGCAGCCCTCCGGAGTAAGGAGGGGAACTGCACCTCAGGGAACCAACAGCTTCAAACACATCTACTGCCCCCTGGGGCAAATACCTGCCATTTGTTGGGGGGGGGGGGGGGGGGAGGGCTGCAGAGAACAGGCCAGGAATGACATGGTCAAGACAAATTCCAACAGCAACTTCAACTTATGTTGTGTCTCTAAGGTAATTAGATGCTTCAGAGCAATATTATAACATGAAGTATGATACTGAGCCATATTTAGTTAAATGATCAAAATCTTCATCAAAGACAGACAAAGGGATGTTTTAAAGCAGGAAGCTGGGATAGTGAAGCAGAGAGAATTAGAAATTCGGGGCCCAGGTACCAGGAGGTACAATTTCCACAGTGTAGCTTGTAATTGGGAATGCGATTTGGGAATTTCGATTATAATTGGAAATTGAAAAGGAAGGAGGAACTCAAGGAAATGACAATTACCAGGGAACTGGCTCTGAGTAAATTGTTAGAACTGAGTTGACAAGTCCCCAAAGTCTTAAAAGAAGTACAAAGAGAAAGAATGAACAAAGGTCAGGTTCAGGCCCTTCAGCCCACCAAGACTGCAGCAACATATAGTAAGAAACCTTTTGCTTGTATGCAGCCTGTATCCCTCTATTCCCTGCCTGTTCATGTATCTGTCACATTGCCTCCTAATGATTGCTATTGTAACTGTGCACCTCCAACACCTCCTCTGGTGGTACACTCCAGGCACCACTGTGTATAAACTTTGCCTCTCACATCTCCTTTAAACTTACCGCGTATTACCTTAAACATATGTCCCCTAGTAATTGACATGTTTACCCTGGGGAAAAAGACTCTGACTATCCATTCTGTACATGCCTGTCATCATTTTGTAAACCTCTATCAGGCTGCTCCCTCATCTTTTGATGTTCAAGTGAAAACAAACCAAGTTTCTCCAATTTGTCCAAATACTCTCCAACCAGGCAACATCCTGGTAAACCGTTTCTGTACCCTCTCCAAATCCTCCACATCCTTCTGGTAATGTGGCGAGCAGACCTGTGCACAATATTCCAAATGGGGCCTAACTACAGTTCTATACAGCTGTAACATGACTTGCCAATTTTTATACTCAGTGCCCTGATTGATGAAGGTAAACATGTCATTTGCCTTCTTGACCACCTCATCCATTTATGATGCCACTTTCAGGGATTTGTGTTCCTGTACACCTAGATCCCTCTATATGTTGGTGCTACTAAGTGTTAAGAACATAGAACATTGAACAGTACAGCACAGGAGCAGGCCCTTTGGCCCACGATGTTGTGCTGAACTTAACGCAAAATTAAACTAATCCCTTCTGCCTGCCCTTGGTCCATAACCCTCCATTCCTTGCGTATTCGTCTGCTTATCTAAAAATCCCTTAAATGTCCTTATCAAATCTGCCTCCACCATCACCCCTAGCATCGTGTTCCACATTCCTATCACTCTCTGTGTAAAAACACTTGCCCCTCACATCTCCTTTGAACTTTCCACCCTCTCACCTTAATTCCCCCTAGTTTTAGACATTTCAACTCTGGGAAAAAGATTCTGACCATCAATCTTATCTATGCATCTCATAATTTTATAGACTTCTTCCCCTCAGCCTCTGCCATTCAAGAGAAAACAACCTGAGTTTTTCTAGTCTCTCCTTATAGCTTCTGCCATTCATTGTATACTTCCCTCCTGCATTAGATATTCCAAAATGCATCACCTCACATTTGCGCAGATTAAACTCCACCTGCCATTTCTCCGCCCATTGTGTATCCTGCTGTATCCTCTGGCAATCATCCTCACTGTCCACAACTCCCCCATCCTTTGTGTCATCAGCAAACTTACTGATCAGACAATCTACATTCTCCTGCAAATCATTTATACACATTACAAGCAACAGGGATCCCAGCACTGATCCCTGTGGAACACCACTGGTCACAGATCTCCAGTCAGAAAAAAAGCCTTCCATTGCTACTCTCTGTCTTCTATGACTAAGCTAGTTCTGTATCCATCTTATTAGGTCACTGTGATCTTGCGTGAATTCACCTTCTGTATCAGCTGGCCATGAAGGACATTGTCAAAGGCCTTGCTAAAGTCCACACAGACAAAATCCACTGTCTTGCCCTCAATCATCTTCTCACTTCCTCAAAAAACTGAATTGCATTTGAGAGATACCACCGCCCCCACACAAAGCCGTGCTGCCTATCATTAATAAGTCCTTATATTTCCAAATGTGAGTAAATCCTGTCCCTAAGAATCTTCCCTATCACTGATGTAAGGATCACTGCCCTGTAATTTTCTGGATTATCCCTGTCAACCTTCTTAAACAAAGGAACAACATTGCTTATTCTCCAGTTCTCTGGGACCTCACCTGTGACTAAAGAGGATACAAAGATTTCTATCAAGGCCCCTCACCTGCCTCCCCCAGCATGCTAGGATAGATCCCATCAGGTCCTGGGGACATGTCTATCTTAATGCTTTTCAAAATACCCAGCACCTCCTCCTTTTTTATATTGACATGGCCCAGGATAGCAACAGACCCCTCCCAAGCCAAGTTCTGAGGAAGGGTCACTGGACCTGAAACGTTAACTTGTTTTTTTCCTTCACAGATGCTGCCAGACCTGCTGGCTTTTCCAGCAACTTTGTTTTTGTTCCCTTCCAAGCCTTACCATCCACCATGTCCTTCTCTTTTGTGAATACCAATGCAAAGTATTCATTGAGGTCCTCACCTGCTTCCTCCTGATCCATTCATAAATTCCCTCCTTTGTCCTTGTGTGGATTGACCCTTTCCATAGCTACCTTCTTGCTCTGTATATATCTATAAAGCACATTGAGATTTTCCTTAATCCTGTTTGCCAAAGAAATTTCATGGCC